TAACTGTTAACACTGAAGCTGACAAGAATAAAATATTGCCTTGCAATCACCTTGCTCTGTGAAGTTAGGCACACGCTTACAGGATTTATGGGAGCAGCGCCTCTGGGCACGAGGAGTTTGTCACTGTGCACCCACAGGCTCTGATTGCTTCCAGCTCAGCCCCACAGCCGTGACTGGGAGCAGCCGGGGACAGCAGCCACACGTTCCCAGCCTCTGCAAGAAGTCGCAGCATCTCCCTGTGACAAGCCCTGACTCGTGATACCAAAATTCTGCAAAAGTGCTGGTGCCCCACACCACAATCCACCCACGGATTCGGGGTGAACCTCCTATCCCACCCAGCGTCCCCCCTGCCCCACTGCTCCTTGAGCCAGGTGGGATCTTCAGAAAAAGCCGCTCTCCTTCGTCACAGAGACACGTGGACAGGGAGAAAAGAAATCCAGGAGCTTTCTCAATGTTTTGGATTTGATTCTGGGTGTCTGCACACTCATTAACAATCTCAACCAGTAGCGTGGGCTGAGCTGCCCCTTAGCTCACCACCCTAAAGCTGAGCGAGCTGGAGATAATCCAGAGGAAAAAAGGCTCGGCGAACAAATACCAATAATGCAAACACCACTAGGCTGAGCTCAAGTCAGGACCCCAAATCCTCCACACTGATTAACACAACTCACCTCAAGCTTGTTGCCTTAAACTCCACACTCAAGCTCATTGTCGTGGTTTGAGACCCTCAATGATTGTTGAAACATACTTCTCCTTGCTTCTCCCTGCTCACTCCAAGTCTCTTAGGCCCTGCTCCCCTTACATGTGCTCTCCCAGGCAAAGAGGTCCCTTCTGTTTAGCCCCATCTGTGCTGAGAAACTCAGTCACCACGTGCATCTGCTAAACCATTCGATGGCAGCATCGATACGCAGTGGTCAAGGTGGGAATGTAGGGACATGGAAACGAGTCATCCTGTGCTTTGAAAAGCTCCAGGATGTGTGCTCGTGGCTCCAAAAGCAGCCTGCCGTACACCGGCCTGCTTCAGCCCCCCAGAGCATGGAGGTTCCTCATAGGCTGAGCTGCTAGAGCTGCTGAAGGTACCCTGGGTGTGGATTTAAGGGCATCCCATGTTTAGGATCTTTGTTGTGCACATGCTAAAGCTCCACCAAATGTCTCTGTGGGCTCTTGCTGGGTGTTTAAATGTGAGCACCACTCTGCCTGATGAAATAGGCACAGGTGGCTCCCTGTCAGCATCTGTGTGACACCATGCCAAGCAAAATCATCCCTGAGATACAGAGATGTGCAAAAACCCAGCACATGCTGACCGTACTTCCACCAGGCCACCACCACACTTCAACCAAGGACACTTCAACCCTGCCACCCTTGGGGCTGCAATCCAAATCCCATCATTATTTTACCAAGGATGAAAGGGAAGTTAAACAAGAAAATGGAGAGAGTAAGCTTGCCCAGAAAGCCTCTGAGATGTCAAGGTTCAAGTCACAGGTCTACAAGCAGATGCAGGTATTTCCAAGAGATGATCTGTGTTTTCCAAAGCCCTCTTCCAGCCACACCACCAGGAGGTCCCTTGAGCTGGGAGTTGCTTCATTCAGGAGTGAGTGTGCCTAGACAGTGCTGACTCAAAGAGTGCAGCAAACGTAAAACTCATGCTCTGTGAAGGTGTTCATGAACGCCTTCCTCCATTCCTCATTCACCAGCTCAAATCCTTCTCACCAGCACAGGAATCTGCATGCAAAATTCCCTCCTGGTTAAATGCAGGAGCAGCCAACATTCTAGAGAATTAGGCAGCATAATAAATGGATTTATAGCTTTTAAAAATGCCCAAAGGCCACCTTCGTGCCTTGAAGGTGAACAAACCAAAAAGACCAAGTGTGACACCAGCCAGATTTTGTAACAATTTATATCAGAATAATTAATTTGGATTTCTACCAAAAAAAAAAAATCAGGTAACCCAGCAGTGTCCTGGTGCAGCACAGTTTTCTGCCGAGTTCCCCAGCAACTTGGCTTCTGGCTCTTGCAGCCAAAGAGACAAGAGGGGGTTGCAGGTACCCCACCATGGGTCTCACTTGAGCTGGTGCATCCCTGCTATGGGCTTACTCCCTGCTTCTTCCTTGCCAAACTAACCTGGAAGAGTCTTCCAGGTGGATATATCAACATGGAGATATGCTCTGAGACCAAGAGCCTGTTTATTGAAAAGCTACTGAAGAACATCAGCAACTTCTAGCTGCTGCTGCTCTGTGCCTGCCACAGAACAGTGTGTAATCCAGTTTCTTCTAGCCAAGCTCCACAGTTAAACACATGCTGAAGCAGTTTTCTTATGTAAAGAAACATTCCCAAATCAGACTGTTAGTCTGGATTAATGTCGGCCAGCTACAGATGAACTACAATGAGTCATCCCCCAGAGACATCAGGTCCCCTAAAATAGAAACAGCAACCGAATGCGTAGAAAGGCTGGAATATTTGGACTGAAGGCTCTGATCACAATGCTTTACATAAGCTGGCAAACACACCGCCCTTCCCAGGCTGAAAGGAGGATTCACCTCAGGCCAGGGCACTTCCACAGTTCTGTCTCATACGCTGGGAAGTGCGGCCGTGACATTCTCTGATGCCACACAGCAGTAAACTGGATTGTTTGTTGTTTTTTTTTTTAATACAATGAAACTATTTAAGGACGAGTCCAGAGATGCTGGAATCAATCAATACAGTCAGAAAAGCGGTGGCATCGGCCAGCGCTTCAGAGGTTTGCACAGGGAAGGGCAACAGACCTGTCTAAGGACCACAGAGGCTTTGTGTTGACCAGCAGCAGGAAGACTTGAACACAGGGAATGACACGAGCCATTTTCCCAGAGGTCTGGCACAGGCTGGAATGCAGGTGTTCTCCTCCATACCCCTTCTTGCTGTGTGAGGAGGACAGAGATAGAGAAGGGACAACATCCTGAAAGAATCATGAGGAGACAGCCTGGCATGTGCCTTTGTGTTGGATTGGGGTCCTGCCACCTCTCTGTAGGGAAAACAAGGGGCAGGTAAGGATTGTTAGGAGCCTGAGGGAGCCAAGAGGCTTTAGTTGCCCCAATCAACCTCCCCTGGGACTTCCATCCATAACCTCCATTTAAGCTGAAGTCCAGGCAATTAATTTTTCCTGAGCTCTCCTGTGGGTGTACCTACTCCAGGTATTCCCAGATTGATCTTGCACTTCACTTGGTGTCTTTTGTTCACTAGGTGACACCTGGGCTGTTGGTGCCACCCTCGTGCTCTTCCTGCCTGGCTGTGGGGGGTACACCCATGTTGTAAGGCTGTTCCCTGGCCTATGCTGTGCCTGTCCTTGGTTCCTGGCCCATGTTCCCTGAGGTAGACAGGTGGTCTTTGCTGTTCTAGAGGGCTGGAGAAGAAGGATGCAATTCTGTGTAGGTGTTAAGCTCATGGCAACACCATCTGGCTCTCTTTGGCCCCATTCCTGATGGAGCCCAGTTTCTCTATCTCAAGGTGACCCTTAGTCCCCTCACTGCCTTCCCCTCTTTGAGATCCCCTCTTTGAGATTAATTTTCACTAATCTCATAAAATTCCCTCAATCCCATTTAGATCCAAAGCTAACCATGGTCTCCTCCTGCTGCCTGGCCTCCCCACAACTTTTCCACCCCCACATCACCCCCAAAACCTTCACTGGAACCTCACAGTCTCCTTCAACCTTGGAGAGCACCTCCCTCCATCCCTCTCCAGCCCCACAGAACCCTTCCATGTCCTCCCAGCTCTTCTCCTTTCACCATCAGTCCCATACTTTGTGCTGGTGCTTTTCTAACCTTTGACAACAAGTTCCTTGATATTTTTTTCTACGAAATGCTTTCTTCCTGTTGATCCCATTCTCTCTACACTGCTCACGTGAGGAACAATGCTTTAAATTCCTCACCAGACCTTTCTATGGTCATGTCCTCCTCAAGGAGAGTGATTTTTCCTCTTGTATGATGGGGCCATCTCCCTTGTCATGCTTTCTTTTGTACATTTGTTTAATTTCCTGCTTGCTCCCATGCCTGTGGCTTGTCTTCCAGCGCTCCTGATAGCTTGCAGTTTTCTAGGACAACAGGTTTTTAATAATTTGATGGACTTGGTTCCCGTGTAGGTTTGTGCTGGCAATTAGATGGGAAAGACCTGAGCTTAAGGTCTTTATTTGACTTGGGGATTGCTGAGGAAAGCAGAGCTGAAGAGAGGAGGCAAAATTAAACAGAGTTCATCTGAGGTTAAGGCTTTCCTAGGAAAAGCCAAGTGCCGTATGGAAAGCATCTCTGCAACACTTCACTGTGAGGTTCCATCATGGGATAAAGCCCCTTTTTTGTACAGTCCAATGAATATTTCATCTGCCACATATAAAATATCCCTGGAAAACTGTGCAAGGGCTGATTTATATTTGGTATTGCTCATAAAAATACGCAACACCAACAGAAGACACCCAAACCCAAAGCATGTACTGGTGCTGGTTTCAAACAGAGAGTCTAATGAGGTTAGATCTAGGGTGGAGAGGCCCTGGCACAGGTTGCCCAGAGAAGCTGTGGCTGCTCCATCCCTGGAAGTGTCCAAGGCCAGGCTGGATGGGGCTTGGAGCAACCTGGTCTGGTGGAAAGTGTCCCTGCCCATGGCAGGGAGCTGGAATGAAATGATCTTTAAGATCTCTTCCAGCCCAAACCATTCTGTGAGTCTATGAAAGCAGCGTGGGTGAAATACATGTTAAATCGTTCATCTCCTCAAACTCCAAATCAGGCTGCTGAGGCTCCCCGAGGGCGGGAAGCACGGCCAGGGGTGGGAGGGCTAAACCTTGAGGGCTGGGGGGTCAAATGACCCTTGGTGAAGAGCTGCAGGGGTTTGGAGGATTTCTTTGAAAGGGGATTGGCGGCTGTGGGGTGCGAGAGGCGGCTGCGGGGTGAGGGGGCAGCCGGGGGAGGCCGTGAGGGCGGGCCCGAGCTGCCATTTCGCGGCCGCCCGTCCCCCGTTGCCGGGCGGTGCCGCCGCCTCCCTCAGGCTGCGAGTGCGACATGGCGGCGGCGCGGGCGCTGCTGCGGCTGCTGCTCCCGCCGCTGCTGCTCCTGGTGCTGCCGGGCCCGGCGGGGGCCGTGTGGCCGCAGCCCCAGGCCCAGCACTCCCCGCCCGGCGGCGGTCGCTGTCCGCTGCCTCCCGGCCAATTCCGCTTCGCCGCCGCGGACGGCTCGGCCGTGGGGCCGGGCTGCGATGTGCTGGACTCCGCCTTCCAGCGGTACCGGGCGCTGCTCTTCGCCCGCCCGACCGGTGAGGCGGGGTGGGGGTGACCCTTTCCTCCGTGGCTTTATTCTTAACACCCACCAAACCCGCGTTTATTTTGGGGTCAGACCACGGGGTTTGGGTGTCCGCCTGCCTCCCCTCAGTCCGGCGGGGACTGGTGGGGCGGGAGGTGGAGGCTGGGTGTGACGGCGAGCTGGCTTGGGGGAGTCTGGTGGCAAAGGGCAGCGGTGCGTTGGGATGTGGAGGGCAATGCCACAAACTGCAGATGACAAAATCTGACCCAGTTGGCACAGCGAGCACTAGTTATCTTCATTTCCTTCCAGGGTTTAAGCTCTTGCTCTCGAGAGTTCCCTCCATCTCATTTTTTATCTCCTCTGGACAGTGTTTCACCTCCCCGTTGCTTCATTTCGCTTCCTTCTCTTGTGGCTGCAGGGAGAGCCACTGCCGGTCTTGCAACTGCTCTTGCTCCAGGGTTGCTTGTAAGTCTTGGCTCTTTCTGTTCCTAGCAGCTCTTGCTGTCCCCTGTGAGGCTTTACCTTGAGGAAAGACTTGCTGCATCGTGTGTGTTCTTCCAAGTATATGTTCCTGCCATGGAGCTCATCTGCTAAAGCAGAGCTGCTAAACGTCCCGAGGCAGTGTGGCTTTTCTGCCAGAGAGGGATTAGCTCTTGGATTCATCCTGAAATTGTAGGGTAAGATGAGGAAAGGCAAAAGCTTGGAGAGCCGGAGTTTGCTTTGGGACAGGTTCTAAAGGTTTCTCGCACCCAGACGTCTTAGTGATAGCACCCATGGCATGTCAGGGATGAGCTGCAGGAAATTTCCTGGCCGTGGAGCCGGCATGCATGGATCTCAGTGGCTGCGTGGGTCTGCTGCAGCCTGAAGTGCTATATCCAGGGAATACGAAGTGCTTCATTCATCAGAAAGAGCTAGTAACTCTGCTCCCGAGTGTTTTAAATGTCAGTGTGAACTCTGTTGCTGCTGATCAAAGCAGAGAAGGGTGGTGGCGTTGGAAGCTGCTCAGCTTCTTGTTGAGCACATCGTGCTTTGAAAAAAGCAGGTTTGAAACAGAGAAGAACCATTTGGCTTATTTTTTCCACTCTTGTGAGTAGCAATAGAAATAAATTTTGGTTTGGGAGCTGAGAAGGCTCCTCTTGGCTCTCTTTTGCTGCTAGGAACTAAAAACAGCTGATCTAATTATTCATGCTCTCCTGTTCCTCTCAGAGGGGAAATGTGACCATCAAATCACTCGGAGCAACGTTGTGATCACGAGATCGAGCTCACGCTCATCGCTTTCCATACGCCCTGCTTTATGATGCTCAAACTACACAAATTATTTTAAGACCTTTTTTCCCCTTTGCTTTTTTTTTTTTTTTTTTTTTTTTTGCATGGGTGGTTAGTAAGAACAGGCAATGGAAACCCTGGATGGAAGGAAATAAGTTTTATTAATAGAGAAATGGCAGAGACCATTTTCTGTCTGCGCTGGCTTCAGGGTGTAGTGGTGTTGGTTCCTGCCTGCTCCTTGGCCAAGGAGGCTGTGTTTGGGTTGGGCAGTGTCTCCCTGGGCAGGTTTAAATGCGGTGTGTGATGGTGGGACCAGTTCTGTTGAGGGTCCTCAGCAGGATGAGTATTTCCTACGTCCCCAGGCCTGGGGGCAGCTGTTCATGGTGAGCTGCCGCCTTCCCAAGAGGAGGGATCAGGTCTTGCTGTGCCGCTCGCACATCTGTGAGGTTGCCTTGGCTACCAGCTTGTCTGCAACCAGCTCAAAACAGAGGGCTAGCTTGGAGCTGTTTTCCTTCTCTCTGCAGAGGTTTCGTCATTCCTTCATGGAGAAATCCGGGGTTCGTGGCTCCTGCGAGTTGTGGAGCAGGGGCTCCCTGTGTTTCACCCGCACGCTGGCAGTGCCACAGTCTCCCTGGGGTCTCCTTGGTGCTTTGGCTCACTCCAAGCCAAGCTCTTTATTTTTAGTGACTGCTTAGAGCGTTGGCTGTGCCCAGGAATGCTGTGGGGGTGTGGGCACGGAGCTTGGCTGGGATGAGCCGGGTCCCACCCTACTGCCCCACACTCCTCTTGGCCACAGAATGCTGTGACTAATCCCGTGGGTCCCAGAGAAGGTTGAACACCTCCCTTTGGAGTTGAGGGAGTTACTTCAGTAAGAACTCAGGCCTGTGCATCGTTTGAAGCTGTCATTCAGTTTGGGAAGTGTGGCCAGAGCTCCCGTTTAGGGTCTGAATGTGATCAGGTTTATTTCTCCAGCCACTGCACCTGGGCCCTGCTCTGCAGAAGGTGAAGGTGTTCAGGAGCTTTTCTGTTCTGAGTGAGACCTTTTGGTTGCCTCTAACTCAGCAGATTCATTCTGCACCTTTTTTACAGGGTTTCTTTGCAAAGGGTAGGGCAGAGCTCTTGGGCTTGTACTTTGTTCCCAATGCTGGGAGAGTTTGGAAACATGATGCTCTTTACCCTCATGGATAAGCTTTGACTAGTTGTGGCTGTAGCTTAGAGCCAGGGCTCGTGTCCAGGAAGCCTTGGGGGCTGCTGCTGGTCCATACTCTGATGTCTCTTCTCTCTTGTGAAGCTTCCCTGAGAAGCCTCCCCTGAGGGTCTCCTCACTTGCAGACCTTCTCCATGCGGAAGATTGGGATTAGCTCATGTGCTCCTGGTTGGCTCGATTGAAATTAGTCCCTGCTGAACATCCCTGTGCCTGTTTTGGGGTGCAGGAGGGGGTCCCCATTTCTGCCACGTGTGTTGGAAGTCCATGTACTCCTGTGCCTCTGTTGCTAGATGAGCTGGGAGGATGGTGGTGGGCTTGGAAGCAAGGAGAAGGGCTAGGATGGGGTCGATATGTGTGTCGTTTGCAGAGAATGAACCACCCTGGGGGACACCCTGCACTCAGCTCCTCGTCTACGTTGCCATGCCAGGCTGTGATGGGTTTCCCAACCTGGACTCCAAGGAGAGCTGTAAGTATTGGGTTTGGGAATAGGAGGGAGTGACTGGAGAGGGAATGTGGCTGTTTCTGTGCCCATCCCTGGGAAATAGCACTGTGCAGCAGTTATACCCCCGCTTTTGGGGAGGCACCAACCCTTCTCTGTTATTGAGAACCTGGGGCAGGGAGGGAGGGACTTACCTCAGGGTGCTGATAAAGCAGCGGGGGGAGGTTTAAAACAGCAAAAGAAAACCAGAATTTGGTTCTCTGGGATCTCAGGGTGCAGTGCTGTACCTGACCCCTGCCTAGTGCTGGGGCTCTCGTGGCTGTGGGGCCTGATGCCAGCACAGCCCCTGATGCTGTGTTCCAGATAAGCTGATCGTGTCCAAGGGCTCCATGCTGCTCTCTGCTGAGGCCATCTGGGGAGTTCTCCGAGGTGAGCTGTGCTTCCAGTGGGGCATTCCCGCTCTCCCTGCCTTGGGCCTGTGGGGATGCTTTTCTGTGCCTCTCTCTTTCCATGGACTGCTTTGTTAATTGAGCTCTGCTCCTTTGAGGGAGTCTGTGCTGAGGAAGGGGCTGTGTGTGGTTTTCCTGCAGGCCTGGAAACGTTCAGCCAGCTCGTTGGGAGAGACGAGAACGGCACAGTGAGTCCTGGCCTCATCTCCTGCGGGCAGGCGGCTCTCCATAGTGCTCCTGCCTCCATGGGGACAGGCTGAGGGTTGCTGGGATGCTCGGGATGAGGGGGTACCAGCGGTGTGGCACAGCCTCGCCAAGGGCCACGCGGAGATTCATTGATCCAGCCAAATCCGTGCCTTCTGAGTGGGTGAAGAAGGGCTGCAGCTCTTTCTGGCCAGCTGGCACTCTGGGCAGTGAGGGCAGCTCTGTCCACGCAGCCCCGGGGACAACAGTGACCCTGATTGCCTCCTGCTAAGGGCTGTTTGCCCAATGTCCTGCTCATGTGTTGCTCATGTTTTCCACGTGCAGTACTACATCAATGAGACAGAAATTGTGGACTTTCCCCGCTTCCCTCACCGGGGACTGTTGCTGGACACCTCTCGTCACTACCTGCCCCTGAGAGCCATCCTGGAAACTCTGGTAGGGCACCTGTGCTGGGAGACAGGGTGGTTTAATTGTGTGTCCTGTCCTCTGTGACCACTGAGGGTTTCTTGTGCTGCCTTGTGTGGGTCATTTCTCAGCTCCCTTTGTAGAAGAAGAAAACTGAGATGTCTTGGGTTCCTGCAATCCAAGTTAGTGTCTGAGGCTGGGTTGTTTCTAAGGTGAGGGAAAACACTGGCAAAGGTGGGTGGTGCTTCTGTGCTCATCCCAAGCAGAATTAAACTTCCAGGTCTCCACTACTGGCTCAATTATAGGGAGAACAGGGATTTTACTGTAAGCAGAAATACTCCTGGCCCTCTGCAGCTCTTCGTGGTGCTGTTGTGTTTCAAGAGAGGTGTCTGAATCTCTCTTCAATCCTGGGGAGCATTTAGGAACTCTGCCTTGTCCTTTTGGAGCATGGGGATCTTGCACACTTTCTGTGGCAAGCTGGGTGACTTTTCAGAAGGGACAGGGCACGTTCATCTTTGTTCCTGTTCCTTCCCAGGACGTCATGGCTTACAACAAGTTCAACGTGTTTCACTGGCACATTGTGGATGACCCCTCTTTCCCCTATGAGAGCTCGACATTCCCAGAGCTCAGCAAGAAGGTAGCCCTCCCTGATCTCCATGTACCAGCCCAGGTGAGCAGATCCCTCCCTCTGCTCCTGAGCGAGGCACTGAGCATTCCTGTGTTCCCAGGGAGCCTTCAATGCCATGACCCACGTGTACACTGCCAGCGACGTGCGCGCCGTGATCGACTACGCCCGGCTGCGTGGCATCAGGGTCATCCCAGAGTTCGACACTCCCGGCCACACCCTCTCCTGGGGTCCAGGTGAGGGGCAGACCCTGCCTGCTGCTGCTGTGAGGAGAGTTGGGATAGTTCCAGGGGCAGGATTGGGATATACAACCTCAATCCTAAAAGCTGGGTGTGGGGAGCCATGTCCCACAGACTGGCTTTGAGGAGGAGCAAACCATCGTTTGGGACCTAGTGGTCCATCTTCTGGAACAAAATCCAAAAGAAAAACATTTCCACCTCTTCTTGTGTCCAAGGTGAGTGATTTTGGGGTTTTTCAGGGGACATCTGCTCTGCCAGAATCGTCGTGGATATTGCAAGGATCTTGTGTTTAACTGGGGGTGCAGCTGACCAAGCTTCCTCGCTCTGCACAGCTGTGCCCCAGTCCTGTTGCAGCACTTTCTGCTGCAAGGACTGCAAGTGTCTCCTCTTCCATGTCTGGAAGTGCAAGAAGCTCCAGGAAAACATTCCATTGTCTTTCTCTTCCATTCTTCTGCTTCCAAATCCCATGGCCTGTGCTGGAGTTCACCCTGTGCTTCTGGTCACAGCCAGAGCTGTGGCTGGCCCTGCTTTCCTGTCCCATGGAAGGCCCTGGGCCGTGCTGAGGAGGATCAGGGGTGTTGTAGGCAGTGACACGGCCACATTTTGACCCTTCCTCACCTCCATTTGTTATCATCCAGGTGCTCCAGGCCTCCTGACTCCCTGCTATGTGGTCCAGGAGCCTTCTGGAACCTATGGGCCCATCAACCCCATCCTTAACAGCACCTACGAGTTTGTGACCAGTTTGTTCCAGGAGGTCAGCTCTGTGTTCCCAGACTTCTTTCTCCACCTCGGTGGTGATGAGGTGGATTTCACATGCTGGTGAGTCAGTCTGAGGTCAGTCTGGATGGGGACTGGGGTGGAGTATCTGGGTCTGGAGTCCAAGCCCATCACTTCTGGGTCATGATCTTTGGTGTCCTGCTCCTGCAGGCCAGGGGGAGTGGAGGTGCATGGGGTTTCTGTGCTCAGGGTGATGCTGGATGTAAGGAGCTGCTGGTCCTGGTGCAGCCACAGCTCTGGGAATGCCTGGGCAAGCCTTGGACCGATGTGGGAAGGACTTGACTGAGCCTTGGCCTTACTCCAGAGTTCAGATTGTGATGCTTTTATTCTCTTCTCTTTGGTACACAGGAGATCCAATCCAAAAATTCAAGCTTTCATGAAGGAGATGGACTTTGGTGATGATTACAAAAAATTAGAGTCTTTGTACATCCAGAGGTAGGAACAGGGGCATCTGGGGCCTGCAGCTGCACTGTGTGACCAGCACAAATGTCTTCTGCTGTCTTAGGGACCCCAGATCTCCTTTTCAGGAGCATCCCCATCGGGTATGTCTCCCTGGCCCCAAAGGAAGCATTTTATTGGGAGATTGACCACAAAAAAGCCTGGGACTGAAGAGAAAGAAGCCCCATAAGGGGCTGTGCTCTCTCCCTTCTCCTTCAGAAGTACCTTCACATCCAGCTGTGGGTGTTGGGAATATCTGTGCTGCTCCTGTGGCTGTATGTAACCACCCAAGAGAGGGTCATGAAGATCACCAAAAACTCAGTACTTTTTCCTCTCCAGGCTTCTGGAAATCGTCTCTTCCCTCGGCAAAGGTTATATCGTGTGGCAGGAGGTCTTTGACAACGACGTGGTGGTGAGAGCTCCCTTTGCTGGGGTGAACAGTGTCAGCATCCCAGTCAGACACTGGTGTGCTCTGGGGGGGCTGTACTGGGGCTGGTGGGGGTTACTCTGTTATGAATCTGGAGTTGATCCTCAGATGGTGCTGCCAGTGAGGTGCTCTCATGGTGGTTTAGTCACACTGCTGCCAATGCTCTCCTCCCTCCAGATTCTTGTGTGTGCACTTGCAAGAGGCAGGTTTTAACCCTGCCCAGGACACTCTTCAAATGGCCTTATCCCTCTCTCTATTGCTCCTGCAAACCAGATGGGAGGTGGCTCAAAAATCAAGGCCAGCCCAAGTCTGCCTCAGTTTCCCTTTGGGGATGTGGATGGGGTCAGGGCACTCTGGTTGCAGGGGCAGGTGATGCTCTTGTCACCACACTGATCCCCTGCACGTTGTTCACCTGTGCTCAGGTGAGGCCGGACACCATCATCCATGTGTGGAAAGAGAACCTCCTCACGCCATACAAGGAGGAGATGGCCAATGTCACCAGGGCTGGCTACCATGCCCTGCTCTCTGCGCCCTGGTACCTCAACCGCATCTCCTACGGGCAGGACTGGATGGAAGCCTACAGGGTGGAGCCCTTGGACTTCAGAGGTATGTCCCTTGTGTCCCCTTCCCGTGTGGCAGCTGGCTGGCACTCGGAGGTGGCGCCAGGGCTGGGTGTCTGGCTAATGCATCACCTGGGTGCTGTCCCTCCACAGGCAGCCCTGAGCAGAAGGCCCTGGTGATCGGTGGCGAGGCCTGTATGTGGGGTGAATACGTGGACGTCACCAACCTGACCCCCAGGCTCTGGTAAGAGAGGTCATGGGGAGGTCACTTGGATCTCGTCAGGCCAGGCTCATGTCCCTTGCCTTCACCACCAAGCATCACATGCTGAACTCACAAGTTTGGTCTGTGTGTGGTGCCTGTCCCTGTCTCCTGCAGCACCTCTGTGCTGGGAACAGCTTCACAAGGCTGAAATGAGGGTTTGTGAGGCGGTAACATGCCCTGTACAACCTGCTGCTGCAACCAGGACGTGTTTAACACTGGTTTGTCCTGTCACCCTCATCCACTCCTGATCCACGTGTGTCCAGGAGTGGATCTTTGCATGCACAGAAGCCTTTGTGTGTGGAAGGACGCTGATCAAGAAAGTGTTTGGGAGCTCATGGCTTTACATGAGAAGCTTTTGAGGTCCCCCTGATCTGACTGCTTGTCCCTCATCCTCAAGGCCGAGAGCTGGGGCCGTAGCTGAGAGGCTGTGGAGCAACAGCACCGTCAGGAACATGGACGATGCCTACGCCCGGCTGTCGGAGTTCCGCTGCACACTGCTTGGGTAACCGTGCTGGCACAGCTGCCACCCCATCTAGGCACAGGCCTGGGAGGGGCAGTGAGGGTGAAGGGCTTTCCCTGCTGCAAAATGACCCTTGTTCTTATGGAAAGCCCTGGTTTTCCTGCTGCTGCTGCGTGGGCAGAGCTTGCTTTGTGCAGTGCTGGAAGACAGGCCCTTGCTGCTGGCGTGGGCTGGTGGCTCTGGTGAGGAGAGGGCTTTGTGCTGAGGAAGGAGGGGGTCTGTCAGCTATTGCCACCCCTCCTGCAGCACCAGCTTCCCCGGGAAACCTGTCCTCACCATGTGCTCCCACACATGAGCAAAAACTGAGTCTATAAGTGCGGGATGAAAAACTTCTCCCTCCTTTTCACACCTGAAACTGGACTCCCATGGGCACCCATGGCCACCCTGCTCTCCTGGAACCCCTGAAACCCAGTGGTGGGCTCCGCCTGTGCCCTCTCCCTGATGCCATCTTTCTGTTCTCTTCCCAGGCGTGGTGTCCAGGCACAGCCTCTCTACGTAGGATACTGTGAAAATGAGTTTGGTGAGGTCTGAAGGGAGAGCCCTGCTGCCCTCGGTCACCGTACACGCAGGAGGAATGATTTCCACCCCTCAAAAACTGCTGTTTTGGCAAAAGGGACCCCTTCCTGCCCCACCTTCTGCTTTGTCTTTGTTGCAATGAACATTTTTTTGCCTTGGTGTGCACTCTCACCTCTCTTTCTATTTTTATTTCTTTAAATCTATAAATAAATGACCCCAAAGAGGAAAAAGGTGCCTTTTCCTGCTCAGCTGGGGCTTGGGAGACCATGCAGGGGTTATTGTTAGCAGGAGATGGGTAGGGCTTGCTCCAGAGATGCCAGTGGAGGAGCATCTTCCCGGCAGCTCCTGAGCTTGCAGGGTGCCTGCTCAGCTGGATAAACTGTGCTTAGTCTCTGCTGCTGTCACAGGGTTTTCTTCTGCAGTCACGCTGTGCTCTGGGTTCCTGTCCTTGTCCCTTCTCTCTCCAATGTCCAGACAGGACGTTGGCCTGCAAACCACCACCTCTGCTGCCCCAAGCCCTGGCTGCTGCCACCTCCTCTGGCTTCTCCTCAGCAGATGACACCCTGGAGCCTCTCCAAGGAGCCCTTGCAAACCTGCTGAGGGGTGCATGGATATTGTGGAATCACTGCTCAGCCTTTCAGACCGTCACCTCTGCTCAGGATTTGGCCAGCTGACCCAACTCTCCTCCTGCTCTGTTGTCCTCAGGATGAGGAGCTCAGCTCTAGGTATCCTCCATCCACAGGGGTTTCTTTGGATGGTGTTTTCCTTGGAGAAGAAACCAGTGATGCTGCTGTCCCACAGAACTGGGACAGGTGTGATTGTTGTCCTCTGGTGCCGTGCTGGAAACAGTGTTCAGCTGAAAGTAGGGAATCTCTGAGAGAAATCCTGGCTGGATGGGACTATTGTGTGTGTGTGTCTTGGTCTTAACTGAGTGAGATCCTCTGTTATGGCTGGAAACCTTTTATGGTTGAAATTTAAATTAAAAATAGTGAATTAACAGTTACTACTGCCTCCTATTTTTAAAAGTTGGATTTTTTCCCTTTTTTCTTCTCCCAGCATGGTGTGAAGTGGTACCTCGGTCGGGTGCTTTGGTCACTGCAGGGAGCTGCTACTGGTGAGCGTGGGGACAAGGAGGGCCCCGGCCCTGGGAAGGGTGCTCTGTTCCCAAGGGGGATGCTCTGTTCCCAGGGATGATGCTCTGCTCCCCAGGCATTGCTCTGTGTGCGCAGAAATGCTCTTCACCACCCCATCCCAACTCCCTACCTGCATCCCACTTGTCCCCCTGCCTTGCCGGGCTCCCTTTCACCCACAGCCAGGTGTGAGAGCCCAAAGGGCCTGGGATGCTCCGTGGGGGACCCACCAACCCAGCGCCTTCCACTAGAGCCTGGTATTGTGAGCCAGGTTAAACATCATGCCAAAATGGTCCCATTTTCCAGGGTGTCTGCACCAGCATCCCCCCAAAACCACCATGCTGGGAGTGGCTCTGTGACATTCCTACCCTTGGAAGGGCCGGGATCCCGGGAGCACCCCGCTCTCCCCGCCGCGGAATCGCCGGGTGGTCCGTTCCTTCCAGAACATCTATTTTGGTCGCGTAAAACTTGCTGGGGAGCAGGAACAGGGAACAGGCAGCGTGTGAATCACTTGGGGCCAACGGGTTTAAAAATAAACCCAAGCGGCAGCGAGGAGCAGCCGCCAAGCCCCCGGATTCCGGCAGGATTGTGCTCCCAGCATCGCCAACCCACCCGTGGGCACCGGCACTGGCCAGGGGGGTTTATTGGGACACGCGGGCACGTGTCTGCTTGTAAACCCGTGTGTGCATCATGCGTGTGCTTGTAAACATGTGTGTGCATTGTGTGTGTGCTTGTAAACATGTGTGTGCATTGTGTGTGTGCTTGTAAACATGTGTGTGCATTGTGTGTACTTGTAAACAATGTGTGTTCATCATGTGTGCTTGTAAATGCGTGTGCGTTGTGAGTGCATTGTGTGTGCTTGTAAACACATGTGCTTGTAAACACGTGTGTTCATTATGTGTGCATCCTGTGTGTGCTTGTAAACACATGCACACACTTCCACAAGTGTAGTTCTGGGTCCTCACACACATGCACTCATGCACACGCTTGCGCACACATGCAAACAGGCCTTTGCACACATGTGCACATGCTTGCACACATGGGCTCTTGCACACATGTACACTCCATGTACATGCTTGCACACACATGCGACTCCTTGCAGACACGCACTTGTGGACACGCTTGCACACACATCCATGGGGGCAGTTGCACACGTGCCCTCATACACTTGCACAAACGTGCACACAGTTGCACACGTGCATTTGGGTCCCTGCACACATGTGCACTCATGCACACGCTTGCACACACGTGCCTGTGGGTCCTTACAAGCACGTACATTGCTGTACATGCTTGCACACACGTGCACACTTGCACACACATGCAAATTGCACAGGCTCACACGCAGGCCTGCAACTGTGTGTGCCTGTGCGTGCCCTTGCCTGTACTTGCACACGTGTGCAGTCTTGCTGCCACACATGCATGCTTGCAGCATGTGTATGTGCTTGCACACGCTTGCACACACGCCACGGCACATGCTTGAACATACACACGCGTGCTTGTGTAGACTGGCACACACGCAGCACCCTTGCACACCCACGTGCCCACACAGCACACGCTTGCACACTCACACAGCTGCACACGCGTGGTAGTGCTGGGGAAGCTGGGCACCCCCAGCTGCTGCTCTGGGACTAATTAATTAATTAACGACCACACCAGGTATTAAAGTCGCTCAGTCTAATTACAGATTTTTTGGGTGACATGGGGTGGAGCAGGGAGGGGGTACATTGGGGGGCGATGAGGGGGATGGGGGGTTGCAGAGCATGCCGGGGTTGATGGGAGGGATGGGGGGGCTGATGGAGGTGATGGAGGATAATGAGGGACATAGGGGGCAATGGCCCGGGAGGGTGATGGGGATGATGGGGGTGATGGGAGACATGGGGGTGATGGGGGACATGGGGGGGTAATGGACCAGGAGAGTGATGGAGATGATGGCAACGATGGGGGCGACGGGGATGATGGGGGGGTGATGGGGGTGACGGAGGTTGATGGGGGGGCGATGGGAATGATGTGGGACACAGGAGTGATGGACCGGGAGGGCGATGGGGGTGATGGGGGGGCTCCGGGCCAGCCCGGCAGGGGGCAGCAGTGGGCGGAGCCCTCCGCCCCTCTCCCCGCCCCCCTCCCTGATTGGCCGCCGCTCCCTCATTATGCTAATACGGCGCGGCTGGGCGGGGCCGGCTGACTGACGTCACGAGCCCGCGGGCGGGCGCGGGCCGAGCCGAGACGAGCGGGGCCGAGCGGGGCGGTGCCGAGCGGGGCCGAGCGGGGCCGGGCCGAGCCGAGCGGAGCCGAGCCTAGCCGAGCCTAGCCGAGCCCAGCCGAGCCGAGCCGAGCCGAGCGGGGCGGTGCCGGGCGGGCGGGCGGTGCCGGGCGGGCCATGGCGGCGGCGGCGGCGGCGGCGGGCGAGGCGGCGGGGGCGGCGTTCAGCACCGCGAACAGCGGCCGGGTGAACGGGCTGAGCCGCCCGCCCGGCGCCATCGCCATGAAGGACCACGACGCCATCAAGCTGTTCGTGGGGCAGATCCCGCGCAACCTGGAGGAGAGCGACCTCAAGCCGCTCTTCGAGGAGTTCGGCCGCATCTACGAGCTCACCGTGCTCAAGGATCGCTTCACCGGCATGCACAAAGGTGCGGGGGCGCCGGGCCGGGGACACCCCCCGGGTGGGACACTGTGAGGGGGGCACCCGGGGATGGGGCTGGCCTGAGGGGAGGTACCGCTCAGGTGGGACACCCTGAGGGGGGGACGACTGTCAGGTGAGGTACCGCTCAGGTGGGACACCCTGAGGCGGGGGGGGGGGAAACCCTCAGGTGAGGTACTGCTGGGGTGGGACACCCTGAGGTGCAGTGCCCTGAAATAGGGGGATCCCTCAGGTGGGAGACCCCTGACATGTGGCACCTGAGTATGGGGCACCCCTGGGGTGGGACATCTTGCGATAGGGGAGACCCCTCCAGTGAGGGACCCCTCAGGTGGAGCGTCCTGAGGTGGGGGGAACCCCTCAGGTGAGGGGTCCTGTCTCTCAGGTGGGACACCCTGATGTGAAGACACCCCTGAGGTGAGGTACCCCTGAGGTGGGACGCTCTGAGATGGGGCACCCAGATGTGGGGCTCTCCTGACATGAGATACCCCTCAGGTGGGATGCTTGAGGTGGAGTGCTCTGAGATAGGGGAACCCCTCAGGTGGGACACCCTGAGGTGGGAAAACAGGAGGTCGAGGACCCTCATATAGGGGGACCCCTGAGGTGAAGACACCCCTGAGGTGGGACATCCCTGAGGTGAAGGCACCCCGATTTGAATACTACTCAGGTGGGACAACCTGAGGTGTGGCACCTAACTACGGGGCACTGCTGGGGTTGAACATCCTAAGGTGGAGTGCCCTGAGATAGGGGTGGGTACCTGTCAGGTGGGATATCCTGAGATGGAGCACCTCGAGACAGGGGAACCTCTGAGGTGGGACATCCCTGACATGGGACAACCCTGAGATGAAGACACACCTGAGGTGAGGTACCTTGGAGGTGGAACACCACTGAGGTGAAGACACTCAAATATGCAGCACCCTTGAGGTGGGATAACCTGAGGTGGAGCACCCCGAGGTACAGGTACCCCTCAGGTGGGACACTTTGAGATGTGGCACCCATGATCTGCAAACACCCCTGAGGTGGGACATGCTGGCATGGGGCACCTCTGAGATGGAGGTACCCCTGAAATGGAGGTACTTCTGTGGTGGGACACCCTGAGGTGGGGCACCCAAATGTGGGGCACCCCTGAGTTGAGTTACACTTAAGGTGGAAGTACCCTTGATATGGAGGTACCCATAAGTATGGGGCACCCCAAGGAGGAGATACCCCTGAGGTGAAGGTACCCCTGAGTTTGGGGCACCATTGAAATGGAGGTACACCTGACATAGGCCACACTGCTATGGGGTACCCCTGAGGTGGAGGTACATCCGAACTAGGGACACCCTGGTACTGGGCACCCCTAAGGTGGAGGCACTCCTGAGGTGAAGGTACATCTGAGGTGGGGGCATCCCAGTATGGGGCATCCTGGTATGTGGGCCCCCTAAGATTGGGGTACCCCAGAGGAAGAGGCCCCCACCAAAGGTGGAAGAACCTCTAGGATGGGGACACCTGGGGGGCACCCACATGGGGGGCACCCACCTGGGGTTAGGGTGCTGCCATCTGTCTTGGGGGCACCCTGGGATCGGAGCGCTGCAGGGCTGGGAGCACCCCAATGGATTTTGGGACACTGTCTGGGTTGGGGGCACCTGTCTGGCATTGGGACACCCACATGAGTTTTGGGTACCACTGGAGTTGGAGCATCCCTGGGATGGAGGCACTCACCTGGTATCGAGGCACCCAGCACAGATGGGGCCCCCCCTGCCTGCACTGTGCCCCCGGTGCTGTGTGGCACCGTGGCACGGGGTGCAGAGCACCAGCAACCCTGAGCAGCGACACACCAAGGGGCTCACACGGCACCTCTGGGGCCCTTCCAGAAACCCCCTCCCGTGAGCCGGGGTCTGTGGGGCTGGAGCAGTGTCAGGGCACCCCAGTGTCACCCAGGCAGGATCCACATGCTGTCACCGAGCCCCTGTGCCACGGGCAGCACCCGTTTCAACATGACTTTCGGGAAGCCGAAACTCGGCACCTGCGGATGTGGCCACATCAATGCCCTTCGGCCGTGGGGCGGCCGCCTGGACTCCACCATTCTCAGCACGGTGGCCTCCGAAATGTCTCCAGGTGCCTCTGAAGCTGTTTGTGTGCCCGGAACAATGGCATTTGCACCTTTCCAGGCCCCCTCAGCGCTCCTTCCATCACGGGCTTCAACGGCTGCGGCCCAGCCGCGTGATTAAATTGCGGACACTCCTCCAATTTGAACGG